AACAGTATGTTGTGCAAAGATAAAAATGTAGAACTTATATTCATTGGGGTGATTAGTTTCTTTATATGACAGATGGTTATAATATGCTAGTACTCAGTGACATCAGACAAAAAGGAAAGTCGTTTAAAAGAAATCATATATTATAGGGTCATTAAAACATAGATTATTGGCCAAAAGTGATGCCCGAATGGGATATTTGTTTTTAACGACCCTACAACCTTGATTAAACCATCATAATACAAGGAAAATGTATACACTCCCACTTTTTATAACTTTTTATCTCTAATTATAGTGTTTTTTATTGTCTTACTTCATCCTTGTGTGTGTGTTAGCCAAGTTTTCATGAGCAAACATGGGCAGTGTTCATCTAGCTGAAGTTTAGAAAATTGTGAAAGTTCACAACAAGAAATTTTTTGCATTTAAAGGACAACTCCGGCACAAAATGAACCTTCTACTGTAATTACACATTGATACCTAGTCGACCGTTCTCTGTGATTTGTTTTCATGATAATCGAATGTTAAGAGTTTTATCTCTAAAAAAAAGTTTAGCGTATACGCTAGTATATGGGGCATTTAATGAGTAAAAAGAAATCGCAGTTTATAGCACTAACAAGGCTCAAAATAGCCCCACACTCACACAGTAACATAATGAGGGTCCATACATGCAAAACGAATCATTGAGAACTTTGTAAGTGTACAGACCGTTTAATAAGAAGATATTTTATAAAAACAGTTCACTTTGTGTATACAGACAGGAGCCATCTTGGAAAACAGTCACGAACCACGAATGAAGTGCTGAGTGAGCTGAACTGTATGAAGTTCAGCAAACTTCTGAACTGTATGAACGGCGTTCGTGGTTTGACTTGTCGTGACTGTTTTCCAAGATGGCTCCTGTCTCTATACACGAAGTGAACTGTCTTTATAAAATATCTTCTTATTAAACGATCTGTACACTTACAAAGTTCTCAATACTTCGTTTTGCATGTATGGACTCTCATTATGTTACTGAGTTAGTGTGGGGCTATTTTGAGCCTTGTTAGTGGTATAAACTAGCGATTTCTTTTTACTCAATAAATGCCCCCATATACTAGCCTTATACGCTAAACAGTTTTTAGAGATAAAACTCTTTACATTCGATTATCATGAAAACAAATCTCAGAGAACGGTCGACTAGGTACCAATATGTAATTAGACCAAAGGTTCATTTTGCGCCGGAGTTCTCATTTAAAGGTGCCATATGTAATAATTGAGGTAAAAATATCCAAAAAATGAGCTACAAGCATCAAAAGAATGAGAAGAAATAAGTGCAATGATGTAATTAAAAAACTGACAAGTTATAGTGCTGCCGAGATATAAACCTAAATTAGCATGCTAAATTACTAGCCCCGGCCCGGCAGGTGTCGTAATACCAGTTCCGGCCATGGGAGGCGGTATGCGGGCGGGCAACGTTACCACCAGCCAAACTGCAATAGACGAGTGAGTCGCGCTCGCGCCAGCTGTGTGTGTACTTAAACCTGATGTCAGTCGTGTGGAAATACAGCCCACTACTACATCTCAGTTCAGGGAAGAGTTCAAAAAATGATTGGTCGATATCACGCATGAGGAATACATTTTGGTAAGTTGTAGCTTACTGTATCTTTCAACAGTGTTCGTGTTCTTTCCATTAGCTAGTAGAGACGATCGGTTCACGTGCGCTAGGGATCTGTCGTCTAACATTTACAAGCGCCAAAACGGTATTTATTGTTTGAATTGCATAATAAAATTGACAGAATCTGAGAGCTTAACTAACCTGCTTGCTAAGTGTTAATTGCGTGTGTCTCACGATGAATTCGTGAGAATTGTCAGCTCTGAATGGCGCTAGGTTGATCAACATCAGCGAATGCTGTCTGTCAAATTAATTCAAACTAACAATAAAAGTGTAATATGAACAAAAGGAATACCGTAAACTTAAAATAATAGCCCGCAAGCTTTTATTTTCCCATATCGTCGAAATGCACCAGCTTGTTTTTGAGACAGGCGTCTATGAGACGGTCTTCATCATTTAGTGTTGAGATTTTGTTCATTGAGTCTCTGATCTCTAAAAATCTCCAAATGCTCCTCGTGAAACTGCGGTCTTCCGACCTTTTACTATCGTGTCAATTGATTTGAATAATATGCGGAGAAAGAGAGCAAAACAGCTCGCTTGTGTTGTTTGAAGACGTGAGTGCGCGTGGCCGCGGCACAACACATTTTCTGGAGGTATACTGCCCCCATCTGTTATGGAATATGGAATATTTTTTGATTTTTAGTTCCAGATGGCACCTTTAATAGATGCTCTTTTTGTGCTGAAACTTACTATATTTGTTTTTTTATAACACAAACTATATTTCAAAAAATCCCCTTTTATAAAGTTCAATGCAGCAATTTTAACCAGGCTGTCGGTTAACTGTTCTCGGTTTCCACCCCGCATCTGCGTTAGTCATTTTCTTGGAAGGAGAGATGCTAGGGAGGATCCCGTCTGTTGTAAAGTGCTGACTGTGCCAGCCTGCCCGACCTCGTCATGTCTAGAATGTAAAAGGAAAATGTTCGGGCGCGCTGTTGATGTCTGCTTGCGGGACCATTAAGGGCCCCATCAATATTAAAGAGCTTGGGACGACCTGAGGAACATTCCAGAGGCCAGTCCATTAACGGACAACTCCAGCACAACAATTCGAGACTCAGAGGCTTGTGTATGTGTGAGTGTGTGTGTGTGTGTGTGTTAGCTTTTCCCCTCCTGGTTTAAGTAAGAATACTTTGCAGAGTAACTTTACATGCCACAATATTTAAACAAATCCATCTAGGGTTTAAAGGGATAGTTCACCCCAAAAATTATAATTCTGTCATGATTTACAAACGATAAAACACAAAAGGAGATGTTTTGCAAAATTCATTTCCATGCAGTGAGAGTAAATTTGGACCAATGCTGTTAAGCTTAAAAAGCACTTTAAAAGTAGTCATAAAAACAATTTTAGCACCATATTCCAACTCGTGTAAGTCTGGAACAACATGAGGGTTAGTAAATGATGACAGAATTATGATTTTGGATGAATAATCCCTTTAAAATTAGTTGTCCAATTGATTTTAAGATGTTTTATTTGTTTTTTTTATGTTGCACAGCACTTTGGTTTCAACATCTGTTGTTTTTAAAAATGTGGTTTATAAATTAATAAGCTAAATTGTGTTTGTGTGTGTGTGTGTGTGTGTGTGTGTGTTAGCTTTTCCCCTCCTGGTTTAAGTAATCCAAATTTTCAAAGTATCATTGCATGCCACAATATTCAAACAAATCCATCTAGTGTTTAAAGGAATAGTTCAGCCAAAAATTGTAATTCTGATATGATTTACATACCATAAAATACAAAAGGAGATGTTTTGTAGAATGTTCACACTGTACTTTTCCATGCAGTGACAGTAAATTTGGATCAAATGCTATCAGTTTTTGTTAATGCTTCCTTTTACAGTACAGTACTTACAGTGTACTTACCTAGAAAGTACTGGCTAATATAAGTTATGGCTCTTTCAGACTGCACGATTTTCAAAGTAGTCGGGTCGCTGCTCTTTTCACACTGCGTGACTATCTTGGCCAGCATTCAGTCGCTGCTGTGTTCACACTGGACGATGGATCGGCGACAGAAGGTTTCACACTGCATGACTTTAGAAAAATCGCCGACAGACTCTGTCTAGCACGCTGCACGCAAACTACATTTCACAACAAACACGCGTGAGATATGAAAAGGAAATAACGCGCGACATCACACGTGCAAGACCGGAGTTCTCACGTGAGACTTTTTTTTCGACCCGGTTGTGGTACAGCTGGTGAAACAGACACGAGTGCTCCTGCCAAATTTCTACTAATTTTTCTTCCATTTATTGTGTCCAAATAGACCGAGAAGAAGCTTTTTTTGTTGAAACAATGCCATATCATGTTGATATGTGATCTATAACTCCTCCCCGAACTCCCTGCTGCTCTGTATCTTGCTCTCTCACTGGCTGCCGGTGATCGCCGATGGAGTTTTCAGTCAAAACACTTTTCACACAGCAGGATTTTGAATCGCCGACAGGTCCAGATATTTAGCATGCCAAATATCTCACGGGCGTCGGCGACTTGTCGGTGATTCTCTCAGTTCGCGTCTTTGTTCATTCACACTGCGTGATTGTCACTCGCGTAAACGAGCGCCGATTTGCCTGTGATTTCGGGCATTTGTCGGCGATTTCTCAAAACCTGTCGGCGAGCCAAAATCGTGGCTAAAATCATGCAGTCTGAACTCGGCATTAAGTACATGGAACAGGGGTAAGTTTAGGGGTAGGTTCAGGGTTAGTACTAGTTATTACCCAGTAATTGTAGTTACTAAAATAAGTACATAGTATTTATATGGGTAACTGGACTGTAAAAGGAAGCATTACCCAGTTTTTTAACAAAAATTACCAAAACGCATCATAAAAGTATAATAAAAACAGTGACATACAATTTGAGCACCATGTTCCAACTCATGTGAGTTTGAATTGGGGTCAGTAAATGATGACAGAATTGAATTATATCCCTTTAAATTGTGTGTGTGTGTGTGTGTGTGTGTGTGTGTCCTTTTCCAGTCCGGGTTTAAATAAGAATCCAAATTTTCAGAGTAACTTTGCATGCCACAATTCAAACAAATCTATCTATGGAGGTTTAAAGCAATAGTTCATAAATTTGTCATGATTTACATCAAACAAAAAAATGTTCCAAGTAATGAAAGACAAATTCTGTCAATATTAAAAAAAGCTTAAAAATCACCATAAAAGTTGCCGTGCATACAATTTAAAAGTCACTACACTCCAGTGTGTGTGGGAGAGAGAGAGAGAGAGAGAGAGAGAGAGAGAGTATGAGAATATGGGTCTCCTTTAACCTAACATTAAACACATCATTAACTGTTAAGTGTATGAGAGCAGTGTCAATTTCCGGCTCTCACTGAAGACCAATAACTGTCTGTTTCTTTTCTTTTCTGCAGAGTCCCGTCAGCAGCTTCATTGTGAAGTCTCAATTCCTTCCTAATCACAACGGTACAAAACTTGTGTGTGTGTCTGTGTACGACACTGCAGTGTCTGGATAATTTGATCAGTGTTGAATTACCTATTTTCCCTTGACACTAGTATTTATTCATGCTCTTGTTCTCCCTGTGCCAGAAAGAAAGAACAACCTTGAAACCACCCGGAAACAACTGCATAGCAACACCTTGGCAACCACCCGCAATATATTATTTCAATCTCTTTTACAAACAGAACTCATTGACTGATTGAATATCTTTTTGATTCTAAATCTTTTCATCATAATCCCAATGTAGGTGCAGCAAGTGACCTCCTTGCCCTTGAGAATAACCTGCTGACCTGCTGTTAGGGAGGCGAAATTCGACATCCTCCCGGTCCTCTGTGAGCCTGACTCTGCCAACTAACCCACGTGGGTAAACAACACCTCGGCCTTCTGCTCTCCACGCATGCTGACCTCAGCTGCATTTTTTCTGCTGCGGTTGGTGACCTGCAAGGCAGATCCTGCTCAAATTAACGCTGCTTCAAAACCTCCGCCCACATGATGGGCACAGGTTGGCACCCTTCTGCGAGCCCTGCTTAGTTTGACCACGGTGGTCAAAAAATGGATCGGGGAACAAACCGGAAACATCTGTTTGAGCTCCGTCCCATCCCAGGTACTGAGGCTGCACTTACATTACATGGTTCAAGTGACCCAATTCCGATTTTTTTCCTCCCATGTGGCACAGATCAGATTTGAACCATGAACGTATAAGAAAGAAAAAAGCACACGGATATTCTCGGATTAGTTTCAGGCCTCATTCATATGTGGAAATAAATCTGATATGAATCAGATATGTATATTTGCTTCTGCCATGTAAGCAGACAGACTGGGTATTCACCTATCAATGTTAGTCCACGATCACATGACTCTTTTCAGAGCCCAGGCTGCAACAAAGGCTCTACTCTTTTTTTTTTCACCTTACACTTTTAAAAAAACTTTTGCTGATAATTTACTCACCCCCATGTCATCCAAGATGTTCATGTCTTTCTTTTAAGGTTTTTGATTAAAACATTCCAGGATTTTCTCCATATAATTGACTTCAATGGGAACCAAACGGTTCAAGTTCCAAATGAGAGTTTCAGTGCAGCTTCAAAGGGCTTTAAACGACGACACCAGACGATGAATAAGGGTCTTATCTAGCGAAACGATCGGTCATTTAAAAAATAAATTAAAAAGTTTAAGTTTTATAAGCACGAATGGTCACCTTGCTCTGTTCTGTGTGACTCTCCTGTTCAAACTCGTTCATCAAAATGAACAAATCTTTTTTCGAGTCATGACTCGAAGGGTCCTAGATAAGACCCTTATTCAACAACTGGTGTCGTTTAAAGCCCTTTGAAGCTGCACTGAAACTCTCATTTGGACCTTGAACCGTTTGGTTCCCAATGAAGTGCATTATATGGAGAAAATCCTGGCATGTTTTCATCAGAAACCTTAATTTCTTTTCGACTGAAGAAAGAAAAATATGGATGACATGGGGGTGAGTAAATTATCAGCAAAAGTTTTTTTTTAAAAGTGAACTACTCCTTTAAGAGAACGATGTTCTGCTGACTTTGGTGCGTAACGCAAAAAAATCGCATCATTTTTTATTTCCTTTTCGGCCTAAGCTTTTCCAGGTCAGCCTTGGGTTGTTTTGCCAAGTTTATTGTGTAAATGCAGATATCAAATATGGGTCACTTTCAATAGAAGATGTAATCTGGTCGACAAATCGGAAACTGGGCATCAAAACCTGCAGTGTAAATATGGCCTAATTGACACTTTGATTAGTGTACTACTTCTTTATGTATAGTTCATAAGTCAACCCCACACACTTTTTGGGCAGAATCCAACACTGTAAAATATATATATATATTTTTTTAAATTATCAAAATTTCTAAATTTCATGTTAAATTCAATGTGTTGCTTGCAGTTTCGTTGTCATTAATAGTGAAATGTGCAAACTCAATGCATTAGCAGTTAACCAAATGAACAAGTCCAACTGGTGAGCAGTAATCTTAATGTGTTGAGCGCCCACTTCCTTGCTTATAGGAAAGCCCGTTACGGCTACTGGGAAAGCGTTACTTAATTAACTGTCTTTGTCAGGCTAATGAGCGGAAGAGGCAGGCAGGAAGAAACACATCACTGTCAAGCCTGCTGACCATGTGACACGTAAACTCTGAACTTCTGGTTGTGAGCAGCAGGAATTAGCATGCTGTATATTTATATCACACCCTACTTCCCTATTTCACACACTATCTGTCCTAAATAGTAGGCAGAAGTAGAATTAGTATGTCCCCTGATCATGGCATGGCATGGCATGACAAAAGCAGGCCAAAGTTGCCCGGGTGGTCTACTATTTCAAGTTGTTTTTGAATATGTCAATATGATATTTTTTGGGGTAATATTGATATAATGTATGGGCTGTTATTTTTACTGTTACTGATTTCTCAGAACACCTCCACTACCATTCATAAGTCTGAGATCAGTAAGATTTTTTCAATGAAGTCTCTTCTGCTCACCAAGGCTGCATTTAATTGATCAAAAATACAGTAAAAAGTACATTTGTGAAATATTAGTACAATTTAAAGCTACACTGTGTGATTTTTACCCCCATCTAGTGGTGAAAAGGTATATGACCATCCAGTGAATATACGTTTCTGTTCCTCTCAATTCCGATTTTGTTTTAACTCCTACGGTGGCCAATGTAGTCCAAGATTAACAGTTCGACCTCGTCCATGAGTGTTAACTCAAACGTAAACGCGAAAGGCGAAGCTTGAATTAACGGGTATGTCCCTCTTTGGCTAATGTACTTTCAAGATGGAGGGGCAACATTAGAACCCCTTACCTGTATGTATTTTCAATGGCATATTATACACTCACGAGAATACTTTATTACTTGAATGAGGTAAATATACATTAATGAGCACATATTTTTTTAAAAGAACTAAGTGTTTTAGCTAAGAATAAACTAAAAGAGTTACACAGTGTAGCTTTAAAATAACGGTTTTCTATGTGAATATATTTTCAAATTTAATTTATTCCCGTGAATTACTTTAGAGTAATTCGTAATTAGTCTTCAGAGTGACATGATCCTTCAGAAATCATCAAAAAAACATTTATGATTATTATCAATGTTGAAAACAGTTTCGTATTTTTGTGGAAACCGTGATACGGGATTCTTTGATGGATAGAAAGTTCAAAAGAACAGCGTTTATTTGAAATGGAATCTTTTGTAACATTCTAAATTTGTCACTTTTGATCAATTCAATGCATCCAGGCGGAATACTTTTTTTTTTCCCAAAAAATCTTTTAGACGGTAGAGTATATCTGTCATGGGAATTGTTATGTGCAGTGTTGTGCAAGTTACTTCCAAACTGTAATACATTAGGTATTACTTGTTACTGTTATTTAAAAGTAATTCATTACCTTACAATATTACTGTCCCAGAATTGTAATGCGTTACATTACTCATGTATTACTTTTGAGTTACTTTCACCAAAATAACTAAGTAGAACTTAACTTTTGGGCTGTAACGATATGCAATATGAAACCGAAATCGCGATTCGCCACACGACTCAGATCCACGAACCTACAGAATCGTGACGCACCTCTTCCAACTCCAGCGTTATTCTCCTTACCGTCCAGATCCAATGCTGCCTTATCTTTAAATTAGGCTATTAGTATTATTTGAAGTTAACATTATAAAATACGTAGACCTACACCACAAAACTAGTTGAGGATAAATTATTTAAAATTGGGGAAGTCCAGCATTATGGACATGACATTTGCAGTCAAAACCTGAAATAAAAATTCTCAGAAAATACATGTATTGAAACATACTGTATATAGGCTACTTCCTTAAAGGACTCCAGACATTAGGCAAATATCAGTCTATGTTTTATTTTTAATATTAGGGAAAAGACACACATTCATGCGTGACAAAAAAATTGGAGGCAAAATATATTTTTTGTAATTCTGTTAATTACACTGCGCAAATCGGATGAGGAAGGGTTGGCTCTCCAGTCTCCATAGAACTTAAAATATTCATTTTATTTTAGTTTTCGTGTTCGCATTTATGAGAAAAAAACAATGTTACAGACGCGACCGCTTTGAACAGGCACTAAAAGACTGCTTTAAAACTTTCACATAGTCTGTTGCCTTTAAGAAGTAAAAACAGACAATACACTGTAATACAACTGTAATACAAGCCTCACTGAACATGTAACGAGTAAAATATTACTGAAAATTGATTAGTAATGCCTTACACTACTGCGTTACAGCAAAAAGTAATATGTTACTGTAATGTATTACTTTTGTAATGCGTTACTCCCAACACTGGTTATGTGTGCTATCCCACTTACTGGATTTTTAAGCATAGTTAACCCAGTCCACATTACTAACATCATTTCTTCTAGTGTAGTTCAGAGGACTCACCAGCGTGCAGAATCTCTCCGGCGGGTTCCCACAGGTGATGCCCGGCGGCTCCACGCGGATGCGCATGTACTCCTTCATGAACTGGGCTTTGGGTTGGCACGCGTAATGCTCCCACATGGCGCCTTCGTCCGTGCTCACGAGAGACTTGCAAAGGTCGTACTGGCCTCGGGCTCTCGCCAGCACGTGCACCAGCAGGTAGAGGAGTCCCGCGCGTCCACGCATGGCAGGCACGTGACCGAGAGGGGGTTTCCGAAGGGAAAGGGACCACCGAGGGTTCAGAGGTGAGAAGCGTTAACATGGAACAGCAGCACCGGTGGTCAGGTTAAAACATCCCATAACTTCGCCACAGTCATGCTTTCATTTACTCCCAAGAGGAAAAAAAAATCAGATATATAGAAAAAAAAAATGTGCACGTGATTTGTTGTTATGAGGTTGAAGGAAATTCTTGCAAAGCAAGTTTATTGTTGAGTGTATTGTTTGCACTGAGAGGGCAAGTCTTACTTCTGTGTGTTTGGACACTGTCCTGATGTGTGATGCTTCTACTCAGACTTACATCCATAGCAGCTCCTGGACTGCGTCACCAATGAGCATATTTATGTGCTGAAGGTCTGTGTCCCACACACAAAGTGTGTATCCCCCTTTCCGAACTCAGAAGTATCCGCCTGATCTCATTCTTCAGACTTCAGCGGCTGCTGTCCATGGTCCTGAAAACAAACACCACACAATTTTAGTGCTCAAGTTCACTCCTGTTTTGTTCTCTCACACACAAGCACTTGATGTCAGCCTGTTTTTTTCTAGCAATGCTTTCTGCTGATGGTCTAGTTTGCCAAACCCCCTCTAAACAGACGTTGCATGTCATCCTGTGAACCGCCACAAGTCTGGACAGATGGCTGATCTCGCATACAACACGAGTCTGGAGAGTGAGGAACATGCGTTGTACACACACACAGACACACATTTAACAGGCAGAAATTATATAAGATAAGACTTCAAGGAAGAGCAGAGAAGAGGATGGGCATTATATATCACGCAGATACTATACCATGTATTGCTTAATGATACTGTATGTTAAATAGTTTCCTGAATGAACTACGTTTCATTTTCATTGGGAAAAGGGAGGAGCGAGGAATGGTCTCACATGTGCAGATACGCACTTAGGGATGGCATCAGTTTCAGAGGTTGCAAATGCAGTGAATGTACAAATATTTGATCTGGTTTTATTCAAGTCAAAAATATTTCAACCTGAATTAACTAGACAACTTATGTTTAACTCAGATCAGATAGCCGAGAAAACATCATGTTTTAACCGGCAATTTTACTATAAAAAACTTGTTTTTTTTTGTTTTTTTTAAATAATTATATTACAAATAAAAATAATTCCCTTCACAAAGCATTACATTTGTAATCATTACATCATTTAAATTAGTTAATGTAAAATTAGTTCATGATTTTAGATTTATTTATTTATTTTATTATATGTCGGGTAACACTGAGATTTGGCTTTGAGAGGCCAATTCTGGTGAACAGCAAATTATTTGTACATTTAATAATTAGGCAACCGTACGTTGGTTAATGTACATTATATATACATGCAACTTACCCTCAACCAAACCCTAATACTACCCTAACCATAGGCTATAGTAAGTACACGTTGTTAATTAATATTACTCCGTACTTAAATATGTAATTACACAAAGTCTTACCGTAATGATTGCAATATCAACCACAACTACAGTACCAGTTTTGCCTCCAAATTGAACATTTACAGAGCAGAGAAGTACATAGCGGCAAAATCTCATTCCTGTTGTTTTTAATTCTCCATTAACCACCAGTCTGATCATTTGAGAGATTAATTTAGCATAGAAAAGTAATTAAAACTGCTAGATATTATATTTTCGTTTTGCCTCACGTAAAAACGTACAAGTTCCACTCGCTGTCAGAACAGGCTACTCCTCCTTCATATACTGTACTGTAAAACATCTCAAACAAGCATCGATATTCCTTGTACACACCCTGGAGGTAATCCAACATCCGTAATGTGACACAAAACGTGACTAAAGTTGATAACTGTTGTAGTTTAGCATCAGATAACTGTTTTAAATCGTCTTCCCTCTCTGCAGAGCGGACGGGGTGTGTCGCGCGCGCGCGCGTCCCGCGTGTAAAGATGAGGAACTGCGAGATGGAGCTCCAATAAAACACATTCCGCGGTGCAACTCGGTAAGAGAGCTTCTTTTACGTTTAAACTCGAGCAGAAACAACTTTTTGAGGTGTCAAACATTAATCAAAAGTGAGACGCTTTGACAGGCTCGCTTCTGAAACGGGAGCTGCGTGCATCCGGGTTGCTGAAGTAGTTGAGATGGACTCACCGAGCGCCCGAAACAGCATCGCCTCCCGCAGCGAGGATGCGGTTCTTCCGTGTTTGTTTTTGTATTATTCCTCCCAGCCGGAGAGTTTTTTAATGCACACTCGGTTCGTCACGGGAGGACGGTGCCCTACTTCTGCAGGAGATGCTGAATTACTGGAGGAGGGTGTGTGTGTGTGTGTGTGTGTGTGTGTGTGTGTGCGCGCGTGTGTGTGCGAAGTATCCAAAAGTGAGAATATGGACTTGTAGTGCGCGTGCTGTCTACTTTACTGGATCAGATTTGCCCTGTGTTCAAGGGCAGAAAGCTTCATGGCAAATCTCCCTCCTCTCCCTCTCCCTCTCCCTCCCTCTCTCTCTAATCCATTTAACCATCACTCTCAATCACTATCTGCGGGTTTGAGTCAGGCTGGCCCGGCTGTATACTGTCTTCTGTTCTGATGGGCTGAAACTAAACCGCCCCGCTCTTGAGACACCAGGGAATCCGCATTTTTTCGCAGACCTCCCTGCTTGGGGAAGCCTCTGACGGGTTTCATTTGTCCTCCTTTTTTTTTCTTTTTTTTTTTTTTTTTTTGAATTGATAATCATAGTTTCCGTGGACTTTCATTTAAAAATGTTGATAGAGCAACTCAGTGCAATATTTGCTGGTTATTGTTCTGGGCTACCAGGGATACAGCAACTAAAAAAAAAATCTCCAAAGAACCACAAACTCAAGTACACTTTACAAGTAAACTAAGGTTCTTTATTGGACTCATGGTTCCATGAAGAACTTTTAACATTCGTGGAACATTCTTTGTATTCCACAAGAAGTGCTTTATTGTGGGGAAAAATAAAGATTTTTAAAGGGTTCTTCACACTAAGATTAAAAGTAGTTATTTTAAAGGGGAATTATTATGCCCCTTTTTACTAGATGTAGCCTTATATAAGTCTCAGAATGTGTCTGTGAAGTTTCAAATTAAAATACCATAGGTTAATTATTACACGATGTTGTAAATGTCCATTGAGTGGAAGGAAAAACATGCTGTTTTCATGCATGTATCTTTAAATGCAAATGAGCTAATGTGACCCTGCCCCACTTTCCAGAAGAGGGCGGAGCCTTTACAGCTCCTGCCTCAGATACTCTACCAATAACAAAAACATAAACATCTGTTTGGTTTTTATTATAATCTCTATCACGATCACGCTCACGTGACATTGCAGTTCATCATTATCATGAAAGTGTATTCTCTGAATGCATTTTAAAGCCATATCAGTCTAAACTTCTGATATTGGGTTTTCTGAGCGCACTCATCTGAAGCACAAGATCAGAAAGCACGTCCCGTGAGTGTTAAACTAAAATCTCTCTCATCTTATTGCGCTTTAACTGTCAAACACACATAAGGTTATGTCATAAACACACAAAGTTCACATAAACTCAGTCGGTTATGTCTGTGAACGTAAACAACAGGGAAAGAAACCGCATGTGCATATTAGATCTGTGTGTTAAAGTGACAGCAGAGTAATATACAGTACCTACTGCTATATATGCTGTAATATGAATCAAACAACAAAAGAAAAACTCACTGCTCTTGACTGAATAACTTCAGTAGCTTTAATAAGAATATATTTCTTACTTGAATGCTGCTGTTAAATGCTCTGGCGAGGAGATAAACATGGAGGACTGTGTTCAGCTCACTGAGGGCGGGTCTATGCTAATAGGACAGAGACCATTAGCACTATTTGAGTTTGAATTTACATTTTCAATACATACAATGTGAAACTGCAGCACTTCCCAAAATGTATACATTTAGGAAATAAAAATATCAAAACAAATGCCTTTAAAAAAAAGTACACTTTTCAAATTAAGGTTTGTGGGTTTGAAATTATAAAACACTATATAGCCTGTAATGTTAAAATATAAGGAAAAGGTATACTGACCTTTTGGGTCGTGGAACATGTTAGTTCATAAGAGACCTGAGTGAACTGACATCTTACATCCACTAAAAATCACCAAAACACCAGTTGACTGAAGACATTGAGCAAAAATAATGAAGAAATTGAAGGATCCTATAGCATTTGAGACCCACGTACAGACACTTGCTGGGAAATTTTGTTATTTGTTTGCCCCATGCAGTGTGGCTTAAGGCTTTTGGGGTCACTGTGTGTTATGACATGCGAATACAGTATTTCTGAGTTCCCGTTAAGGTCAACAGGTCGACTTATTCACGTCAGTTTACTCCTGTTAATGCAAAGTCATGCATTATTGCTCAAAAATCAATGGGGTTGTTCATTTTCAACCCTTCAAAAAAGACAGTATTCAGCCCGGCAAGCCTGACTCAGACCCAGATGGTGATTGAGAGAAATGGTTGAAGAAAATATTCAATTTTAGGACCGTTTTGTATTGGGTTAGTTTAATGATATTAATCAAATTTCCCCCAAGATTTCATTTTTATACATCTGGATAAAATAAATATATAAATACATGGCTATACTGTATTTTATTATTATTATTTGTTGTTTTGTTTCATCCTAAACTAAATTTTGTTTATGGGAAATACTAATTTCAAATTTTTACTTTTGATTTGGAGGTGAAATATGAACTGGTTTTGTTCCTTGGCATGTTTTGTGAGATTCACCTTTATACTTCTCAGAGTGGAATACTTCTTTAAGAAATGTGTAGTTTGTTAATATCTCAATATATACATTTCTAAAGTATGTGTGATGTTAAAGAGAGCCAAACAGAGAGGAAGAGAGAGTTGGTTTGGGTCTGTGCTTTGGACGGTCTGCGTTGACAGGAGTGCGGATCAGATCGATAGTTTGTCCTTGCTGTGTCTCAACGGAAAGATTTCCGCATCTCTCTCTCTCTCTCTCTCTCTCTCTCTCAGAGCTGACTTGACTTTCCCCCTCCTGACACATACGCAACCTCTAAAAAAGCGGTTTATAAAAACATTGCTGTACATTAGAAGCCAATGATTGCTCCAGAAGAGAAAGCAATGAATGATTCCAATTAATCCTCATCTGAATGGTT